TGCTTGTTTTTTTTTTTTTTTTTTTTTTTTTTTTTTTAGTTTAGTTTATTTGATTAGTTGATGGATAAAATAGCAAACATGGAGGCTGTGTGTTCGATTACCACACGAACCATTTTTTCTCTTTAAGGCAGTTTAGTTGATGGTGGATAGTGAATGTATTGTAATCGTTGGTGACGTCGCGAAATAACAACAAACAACAACGTGTCATGTCCGAGTATAGACCGTCATGGAGGCTCATTGACTCCTGTGTAATTCATGTTGAGCCAACTGCAGGATACTGAGGAATGGAAGTTAGCGAAGTCCTTGGCTTGCTTAACCGTTTTTCTTCGATCGTCGCTTTTAACCGTCTAGGCGCGTCTAGCCTAAAGAGGGCCTCTTTATATACGATTTTTAACCACATCTTTATATTTGCAAAAGTAATTAAAATTGTTTATTGAGCAGATTAATCACACTGAAAAACAATTGTACTACATTGGCTGATGCATCCTAACCGTTTGGGCGTTCTCACACAGGTGCTAACGGTTAGCTCCCGATTCGGATACTAGGCTCTCGTGAGAACCAGGCTTGTGTGAACGTTATGCTCTGACATGCCTAACCACAATTGCGAACGTTATAAAAACGTTTTGTTTGCTGGGATTCCTCTCATTCCTTAATGTTCTAGCTTTTTAAGTAAAATTAAATGGTCAATTGTATCAAAAGCCTTTTGATAAATCGAGGAAGACACCAATAATAAATGATTTGTTTTCAAATACTTTTTTTTTTTGTATTCGATCGTTTGTAACAGTGCATGACTGGTAGAATTGTTTTGGAGAAATCATATTGCTGGTTATTCAGTATGTAATGTTAATTTAGATATGAGTATGTCTGATCGTAGACAACTCTTTCATAAAGTTTTGATGAATAAGTCAAGATCGAATTTATCATTAATATTATTATTATTACTAGAGCGTGCGCTCGCTTATCCTCTATGAAGTTAAACATCGCGATCAGTTTTGATAAAATAGAAATTCATGATCGGCACTAAAAGATGATTGGCCTAATTACAGACGGAATTAAGTACACACAAATTCTGCAGAAATACATCCCTAACGTCCAGGTTACCGTACTTCGCCTATAATTCATGGATAAATGTGGTGGCGAACGTTATGCATGAACTGTGTCCATGTAATTAAATGGTATGGTTATATATAGGAACACTGAGGTTGAAATTGCATAAAAATTAAGAACAAAATAAGAACAAATTGAGGTTGAGTCAACTGAGATTTTTTTTTTTTAAATCGAAAACACAACAAATTTATGTGTACTTTATGTGCGGTAGGTGTGATGTAATACTATACAATACCCTCTTTATTACAGCGCAGCAATATACTGCTCTAAGATAATAATTTTCAATGTTTGAAAAGTGTAAAAATAAGAACAAAATAGAAACATTTTGAGCATAACATAGGTAAAAAATAATTTACTGGTTCTTATAAAAAAAATGTGTATATGCCATAGGTAGGATGAAGTAAGGTGGCGATTATAGGCATAGGGCCTTACTAATTACTGTGCATTTCTCTTAGAAATTATACATTTTTGATATGTTGAAAAAAAAAGGAAGTTTCTACATAGATTAGTAGACACTTTTTGTTAATATGCTGCAACTATTATATATTAGGCTATATACTCTAAGGTCAAAGGTCTGAGCCTCGCTGTCACAAAGAGATAAATTATGAGGACAGCTAACCACATTGGAAAGTTTAACTGATGAATCAATTAGGCCATGTTTAAAAAAAAGAATTTGCTGATCGCTCAATCAGGCCATGTTAAAAAAAAAGTTTGCTGATCGGTCAGTAGGCAGGGACATGTCAAGTCTTCAAATCCCCCATTAGACCGGGAGCCCAGAAAATTTAATCATGTGAAAAGAGACAAAAGGTTTGATGGTCTGGTCATGATAGTATAGGGCCAAGATACAATATTCAGTATTACTGCCGGGGCACATCCTGTACAAGCGGGCTGGGGGAAATGAAATAGGGGGTTAAA